GGCGCAGAGCAAATGAATCTCCGAGCACCTGCATGATCGCGCACGCTGGGGGTCGAGACGGCTGCTCGCGCGTGCCGCGTTTTAATTCGAAGCGTTCTGCTCTGCTTGGGCTCCTCGCGTGGAGCGCTTCTGCCATGCATTGATGCAGTGCCTAGGTGGAGGAGGAGGGGGTGGGGGGGGGGGGGCACTGCACATCCTTCCATGTACAGTGTTTCGGAGCGCTTCCAGGATCTCATCCCGAGTTGCAAACACTCACTCGGGTTGATGCAGTGGATGGGAAGTTATGTTTAATAGTAATATCCATCTTATTTGTAAACGTATTATCCGCATTGTATGTATATACGTTAAAATTATTTCGCACCGTACGTGAGTAATTGTCTGCACACCCTTATCAAGCTGAACTAAAGTAATTTTGACTGCACCGATTCTTCCTATTCAGCCGAAATGGCCTCCCAGGTGCACTGATTTCATCCCATTATCCGAGCTTTCATGCGGATAAGCGGGGTGACCCAAAATTAGTGGCCGATGCATCCTATTCACGTTTTTCCGTGCATTACCATCCAGACAAAAGGCGTAATCTTTGTGCATTAACACCGACAATATTGATGTGCCGTTAAATAGAACAGGAGTAGTTTCACAGAACATCGTTGCTGTAGGTCTGGCCAAAGCATACAACCCCTGGATAGTGGGGCTGTTGACAGCCCCATTGCCCCACCGGTCAAATAACCAGCACATGTGCCACTTTGTGCAACGTCCACAGCATTGCCACCCGGTTCGTTGCCGCCAATGGGAAACGGGCATCGTGCGACGCTCGTTTCGGCTGCGCAAGGTCCGTCGACTCTGCCCTGCGCGGATAAAGTGATTAATGCCGGTGCTGTCAGCTCCATCGCTAGACTGTCCTACCTTTATTACAGCCGTCGTCACGACACGAATCGCGTGCATGTGAATGTGTTGTTAAAACCCGCCGACACGGCCAAATCGGTAAGGTTTGTCACGTGAACAAAACGTTGCAATTCGTTATTGGTTCACCACACCGGTGTGTTGGAGACTAAACCCACGACATTTACGTTTAGTGCAATACGGCTGACTGTGATTGACCTCGGATGAAGCAGGAAATGGATTTCCCCCACCCGCCAGGCATTGTTGAACTCTGAGGGGCTGGGAGGACAGGGGAAGTCGCAGGGAAGGGGTGGGACAAGGACATTATGTGAATATATGAGTCATTCCAGGTCTCTATCAAGGTATCAGTTTTCACAGTTTCATCTTTGGTAAATTCTCCACTTTTGACAAATTTTGGTCTGTTGGGTGACAACCAGTGGCTTCTTTCAGGTTCGTTTTGTGACTTTGCTCCCGAAACAGTTGGCAACGGGGCCTCCACAGCGGTGTTGGACAAGGGTGGGGCGTTTTGTGTGGGCACGTGTCACGCTTGTCGTGATCAAATTCGACACGGGCGCCTTGGGAATCATTTGGGCCGAGACGAGGACGGAGTCCCACCAATTCCTGCCCTCTTGCGTTGAAACGGCCGTTTGGCGGTTTTCATTTTGCGGTGCTGTGCGCATAAACAGTTGACATTGGAACAGCAGAATTCCAAATATGCGAGGAACTGCAGATGCGTGCATACATAGAGTACTGTACGTACGTAGTATGCAACACCCCCCCCTCCTCCCCCGCGTACGTCTGCCCCTGTCTTGCTATACTCCTCCCAGCCCTGCCTCCCCTGCCAACAGCTGGCAGCGGAGGCCAACGTTGGCTGAATGAGATTCCAGTAAACGGAAAGGAACCGTGACGATGGCAAGTTGTGAACAGATGCCGCCGAGTGGGCCAGAGGGTGCTGGTTCCAAGCCCGGCCTGTACTTTATGGGCTTCGGAGCCAGCATTAGAGCCCCGCCTGATTGCGCGCGTCTGCAGTCCAGTACTTGGGAATGGCGTGTGGTTGGTGGGTCATACAGATTTTGTGAAACTCCCAAACTCTCGTGGGTTCGTTGACCCTGTCTGGGCAGAGACGTGCATGTTCGCCCCTCGTTCGTGCACAGTGGGTTTTCTGTAGGTACTTCGATTACTTTTACTTTCCTCCAACGTGATAAAAAATGGAAATGGTCAAACGGCCCAATGCAGCCATATTTATAAAGAGGTTTCTTGAGACCCAGTGAGTCTTTCCTGGATGATTAAATGATCAACACTTATTGTTACCATCTAAATAGGTGGCAATAGCGGGTGGCTGATGAGAGTCTAAAGCACTGGTGAAAAAAGGGGGGGGGGGCTATTGAAGCGTTCCACTACTTAGTCGCCACACTCCAGCCAAGGGGAGAAGCCTCCATTCGAGGGAGCTCTAGAGAGTCCCTCTATAGAGAGTACTTTGTCCGACTCTTCAATGACCTGCAAATCCACTAACTTGTGACCTCGTCATGCGGAGTGAGGGGGGTGGGTGTAAGGCAGGGGGTTTATTTAAGCACTTTTTTAAAATCTAAATTGAAACGTCATATCTTTATAATTTATTTTCGTGTTTAGTTTGTCGTTCTTCCCCCGTGCCTCCAAATTCGCACGGTTGGCTACGTTCAACGTACACACATACGCGTGAAAGAATAAGAATAGTTTGACCTTTTCTGGCAATGAAACAGGTGTTAAGATGTTCAAACACCAAATATAAACCTTTTCCGAGGGATCATGCCTGCATTAACCACACGTACTTGTGGTGTGGTTGGTGAGACTAGGCCCTAAAGAAGGCTGTCTCTGGTGTAGACCAATTCGTTTCAAAGACGATGCATATATAATTATCAGAGCATGTTGTTTGTTTGCACCACAAGTACGTGTGGTTAATGCAGACATGATTCCTTGCAAAAGGTTTATATTTGGTGTTTGGACATCTTAACACCTGTTTTATTATTCTCTGTTTTTTTTTCGGTAAAGTCACGTAGGTAAAATAAAATAAATTAAAACAACTGCATTAAATCACGACGTTTCGGAGGCAACACAAGCTTCCGTCTTCAGGTGGAACAGTCACAGCAAAATAGCTGTATCAAGTGAAGAGCTCTGAGACACCCGAGATTATATACAGGTTAAGGGGGGGGGGGTGGAGAGGAGCCAGCAAGGGACGTGGGTGGGGGGGAGGGCTAAGTTGAGTTAATTGTACAGCCATTTCCATTTTTTCCAGTGGGTTGTATTCGCTTTCGAGCAGTGCGCCATTGTTTCCCCCGAACCCCCTGCAGCATAACAAAAGGCGGCTTAACTCAGCCCCCCCCCCACGTCCCTTCCTGGCTCCTCCCCCCCCTTAACCTGTATATAATCTCAGGTGTCCCAGAGCTCTTCACTTGATACAGCTATTTTGCTGTGACTGTTCCACCTGAAGACGGAAGCTTGTGTTGCCTCCGAAACGTCGTGATTTAATTTAGTTGTTTTAATTTATTTTATTTTACCTACGTGACTTTACTGAAAAAAATAAACAGAATGAATCCTCTTGGTTATTTCGGTAAAGTCACGTAAAATGAGTGACTTTACCGAAAGAACCAAAGAAGATGAATCATTGCAGTCACGAAAGCTTTAAATCGAAATAGAATGAATCCTTGCAGTCTCGAAAGCTTCAAACCTGTTTTATTGCAAGGAAGGGTAAAACCTATTCTTATTTTTTAATACTTTGCTACCGGCAAAAAAGATCCCATGTTTTACACACGGATGCGTTAAAATGTTCCCATTGTTTCAACTGTAACGTTACATTCAGTGCATGTGTATTGTGAGATGGAAAAAAAAATCCCAGGTTTGTTAATTCCTGATTGTAATTAACGTGAACTCACACGGCACGTTTTTTTTTTCTGGGCACCGTGGGATTGCGGAAAGGCGCGTCTCGGATGTCTCCAGACGGCCGAGCTGCGAGCCGGAGGCCTAATTGAAAGTCAATAAACGTCCCATCCAATAATCTATTAGAACCGCAAATAAATATGCAGTGGTTTTAAAAAAAAGAAAAACCCGTGAAAGCATTTTGTTCCTTGAAGGGGTGTCTGTCTGTTAATCAGATTGGGCCTCTTTGCTAAATGAATCTGGCAGAGGCCTCACCTTTTCATTGCCTATGAAGCGTGAAATGCTGTCTGTTTTTCTGGTAGTGTTATGCTTGTGCTCACGAGAATTTCCACGTTTGAATAGGCCAGAGATCAAATGTGTTCAATGTCACAATAACTCTTCCCAATCAATTTCTACTTACGTTCATGTTTCCCGCACCTCCGATAAGCACGGTTGGATACGTAAGGTGTGAAAGAAGTTCAACGTACACACATACATGTGCAAATGCAGTGGGATAGAGCAGTGGTTCCAGTGGTTCGCACACTGTGCTATGAACCCAACGACCCGAGTTCAATTCCTGGCCACGGATAACATCAGTGGCAAAGGGACATCAGAACTGGTCCTGCTTTCCTATAATTTCACCAAACCCACACGAACCAGCATGGTGAAGTATGGTTGACCCACCCCCCTGCCCATGACCGACATGGCATGGGGGGAATTAATTTATTAATTTGTACTATAAGTGTAATAATAGCTTTCAAAATGTAAATGCAGCCCGAGTTGTTCTAAATTCATAAGTCTAAAGGAGGTTATTATGGAAATAATTATATTGGCTCGCAGATTTAGAAAATCCTGTTTTATCTTGAATTAATGGTCATTGGCAGCGAGTGGTATGTTTTAAATATGTAACCGGCAGTAGGCGTGTGTATGTTAATTCCAGAAATGAATTCTGAAATGTAATTAACTTTGCACAACACGTTGCCCTCCCATTGGGCCACATAAAAATATATCGCGTGAATTATGGGTCGTTTGCCCAAGTTAAACAAAGAACATATGTTCTTGGGCAACCGCCCACCGTAGCGTCAATCAATGCACATCGCGGCGCAGCGAGCAGGGCTCGCGCCCGCCTGGTTCGCATTCACGGCGTGGGACATGAGGACGGCGATCCAGGTTTCGTCTCGTTAAAGCACCGTACGTGACCGCGCTTTGTTTTTTTGTGCGGCGTGCAGACTTCTCAGCCGTGGTGCCGCTCACAGAGAGGCTCGACACCAGCGCTCACAAAGCCCGCGCGCAGCTCATCGTCAAAGCCAAGCGGCAGAGACCCTCACGCGGGAAACTCCGCAAGACTGACAGCGAGGTCCGTGCCGTCGCACTCCGGTCGTTCGCCTCGCTTGGCGTCACTTACGTGCGCGCGACTCATGAAAGTTCGCTCGGCGTTATCGATGCGTTCACTCGGTGGTCTCTCGACATCTTGGCTCGTTAGCCTCCTCCGTGAAATTCTGCGTGCTTCGAAAAGAGTCGTGCTTAAGGCACTGACCTTTCTCGCTCAACTGCCCTCAAGCGTTTCATTCCATGACGACGACAGCAATCATCGTGGGGGCCTTGAGGCTTTGGGCTGCGTTGCGGGACGTGAGATGAATACGAGGCGACCCGACGGGCCGCACACCAGCCACTGCGGTTTTCACTGCGGCGTGATCATTGTCATCGTTCGAGGGCAGCTGACGCACGGACGCACAGTTCATGTGTAGCGTGTGCGGCGTGCGCACGGTGACCAGTCGCTCGACGTTGTCAGGTGGCGGAGGAAGAGCTGGAGTCCACGCCGTCCTCCCCGGCCACGCAGACCGTGGTGCCGGGAGCGGCCGAGACGTCGTCGCCCAGCCAGCCCACGGAGACGCCCATCGAGGCAGCCAAGTCCACCTCCCTGGCCTCGCCCGTCAGCCCAGGTACATTAAACATTTTTTTTATTTTACCAGGTTAGGCCCCACTGAGCTGTATAACTCTTTTTCAGAAGCGACCTGTCCACAAATGATAGCTCAAGGAAGTGGCTTATCACGTGGAAATGCATTGCAGCCAAATACTCTTAAACGCATGTTTCTAAATGTGGAGGGAAAACCCAGAGGCCCCCGGAGAAAAATCCAAGCGACCATGCGGAGAACATGCAAACTCCAAATATACAGGCGTCAGGGTCGGGATCGAACCCACGATCTCCTGTATACCAGGCGAGGGAGTGGACATCTGGTAACATCTGGCAACGTTAAGTGATCAAGGCCTCACTGGCAGGTCATGGGATGGACCCAGATGTTGTGGGTTAACTGAATAAGGTGACCGACAGATATGGTCACCTACACTCCCCACCTACATTCACTTCACAAGCTCTTTCCAAAGTGGCCAGTCTTTAAACCACCCACACCAAGTCATTGCCAAGTCTATGTAGCTTCAAGTCCTGCACACCAGCCCAGATCCACATCACCCCATTTCTTATCTTGCCCATACCATACCTGTGTATCTACCTCGATCTGGCAGTGTCTGAGCACACAAATGCACAAAGACAAAGATTCCCCATATAGCCTTAACAGACTGTAGGGGCAAGTGCTGTTAGCGAGCACCTATGAAGGCCGGAACAGTACACGAAGGGGGTGGGTGGCCAACACTACGCCCGACCGCCTTTGTCTCCCTAGTGGCGATGTTTACACACTGCACCAGGTACTCATTTTAGGCTGAGTCGACCTAGGGGAGGCCCGGGACCGGTTCAGATAATCGTCACTGGTGTTGGCCGTGAGCGGGAATCGAACCCGTGTCGTCGGGTTCATAGCGCAGCGCGCTAACCGGTACACTATCGCTCCCTACAAATGCACACACACATACACACATGCATAACGACAGCAACAATAACCGTTCGCCACTAAGTGACGGTGACATCCCTAGAGTGCTTGCGCCAGGATAGGTGGACTTGGAGGCCATTTAAAGCCTCGACGGCTCATTGACGTATCATGGAACAGACCCAGGTGGTATGGGTTCATTGACTGAGTTTACTGGCTGGTACACTACCTGCAATGCTCACTTTTCAATCTTGACGTGTTTAGGCTGCCCGGCACTCTACTTATCGTTGTGAGCGGCTGTCTCAAACGAACCATGAGTCACCCCCACAGTGGCCAATATTAAAAAACAAAAACACACACACATGCGCAAACCACAGACGCGTTGCAAGACCATGAGCAAGAGCGTGATAACGATCACAGAGCAGTTGGTCAAACGAAAACACCCGTATCATCACGTGCACACACATGCGGATGGCATCCATAATAATTCCGATGAGCAATGCGCAGAACAGCGTTCGCTCACTCTCGAAGAGAGCAAGTACGACTCGGAGGGACGAGGAAAGCAACAGACGAGCGGGAGAGTTCAGCCTCGCAGCGAGCCAGCACCAAATGTTTCTCCCAAGCTCTGCGGTCCTCTATACACATCCAGGCTTTGTCGTTCAATCAACGAGTGTCTACGTGTGGGAGGAAACCGGAGCACTCGGAGAAAACTTACTCGCACGAGGGGGGGGGGGGGTGGTGACACTCTATCCCATGGAGATGGAAAGGGGTCGAGTGGGAGCGAAAGGTGGCAGGTCACATTGGTGTTGGGTCGTCAGGGTGGCTCGTGAAGCCGGGTGTCCTGTACGTGAAGCACATCCTGAGTCAGAACCTCAATTAGGCCGAGTGCCATGACCTGTTTGGTGGTAATTATGTTCAACGTGGCATTTGCATTCCGTCCATGTTGTCAATTCTCACGCTCTTTGTCTCTAAAAGGCCAGTCAGTTGAAATTTTAATTGCATGTCATACAGAGAATCAGATAGTTTTTTTAAAATCTGTAAATATAGAATAGGTGCCGCGGTGGCGAGATATATAACTACCTCGCTTGGTACACAGGAGGTCATGGGTTTGACCTCGATCCTGGTGCCTGTTCTCCCCGTGGCCGCGTAGATTTTGCTCCAGGTCCTCCGGTTTTTCCCCACCACATTTATAAACCCGCATATAGAATATTTGGCTGATATAAATTCCCACGTGATAAGCCACTTTATTGAGCTATAATTTGTGATGGCCAGATCGCTTTTGAAAAAGAGCTATATAGCTCAGTGGGCTTTCCCTGTTAAAATAAAAAAATGATTTTTTTTTTTTTACTGATTATGGAATGTAGCATTGCATTCAATCTTCAATCACCTGCAAGGTTGTATCTTTCTTTCTTGACCTTTGCAGCTTTGAAATGATATTGCACTGCTGTAGTGCCAAACAGGAAAGAATTGGGAAATGCTGCGCATGATTTTCTGTAAAAGCTACCTGCACTTGCTAGACAAAAATTTTGGCATATTTGCACAGTCACACCAGTTCATTGATATGTACGGGGGTGGTCCAGATGTCTTGTGACCCCAATTTAATTATCTAAAATGGGAAAAAAAATAAGTAAGGTTTATTTAAAACCGAAATGAATATGCAGAGGTAAACAATGTTAGGGGTCAATTATAATACATCTGGACCACCATGTACAATGGGATTAATATTCGCTAGGTCTCATCCACCCAGATTTCAGCCACAATACACAATCGGCATGTAATTAGGTTAATAAGGAATACAGGGTTGCTGATTAAAAAAAACTTGGAATGTAAGTACAGTGGTGGCAGCTACAGGCAGGCCACGACCCTATTAACACCTGTTTTAAATAATCAATAACTGATTAAAAAGCAGCCTGGTTACGGCGACATGGCCTAGCGGTAGAGCATTCACGGTTGGTTGTCGAGGTTCTCTATTCGAATCCAGCCACCCGGCCCCCCCCCCCCCCCCCCGATTGTTGCTGCTGCGGTGTTGCATAACGTGGTTCGCAATGAGCGGGCCATTGCGTGCCGGATTCGTGGTCCAAATTTACCCAATTGAAAAAAAATCCGGAAAGGTTCTCAATTGGAATTCGCAAATAAATCATTGCCCCCTACAGTGAACAAAAAATAAAGTGTCGTGAGACTCGGTGAAGCTTTCCTGGGTAAACAACTGGAATGTAAATAAATGAATGCATCCACACCAGATGTCTCAGGATGCATCTTTTAAAAATGTACCTTCATTTAACATGCGAGTGCTCGGCCGTTTTCATGACGAACAAAGTAAATGCGCGAGCTTGGGGGAATACGGACTTTGCGAACATCATGCGCCCCAGTTGCTGCACGCGAAACCGCCGAGCAATTAAACGCCCCATGGGGAAAAAACGCCGCGCATCTTCACTCTCCGCAGAATGAAAGCGGTTACTCGGAAGTAATTTAAAAATGCGTCCTTTGTTTCCGATGCTTTTGTCGCAGCGGCACGGGCATGTGTCCCTGGCATTGCGAGGTGGTACCCTGCTCGCAAGTAAACACGCACGCCGTGGCACAGCCGAGTTTGGGACTGCCAGGAATGAATTCTCAAAGGGAGTAAATCTGAACCAGCATTCCTTTGGAAAGATCAAAAATTGTAGGGACAAAAAAAAAAACACTTCATAAGTTCAGGCTTAGTGAAGCGGAGTCGACAGGTTATACAAGAGCTGTCTCGGATTTTTTTTTTTAGACGTAATAAATGTTTAAACGCGTTTGTAAATCGAAGTGCCACGTTTCCCTTTTTACAAAAATGTTACTGTTTTGTAAAGCCGCCCGAGTGATCTGTATTTTGTTGTCCATTTCTGGCTGTGATGTTGCTCGACAATAGCACGAACGGTGGTGAGAGCCAACACCGGCAAGCCAGTGAGCCCGAAACTCCTGCCGTGTGTATCCTTAATCGGCGTCGCATGGTGGGATCTCCTGCTGTGCCAGGAACAATGAGACCTTGGATTTGTGGAGACGGCTTCCTCGTTAATTCCATAATGCACGAGTGATTGGACAGGGTTGTTGTCCTTTTAAAGGGGAATCTAATGTGCTCACTACACCCCCCACCCCCACCTTCCTTCGCCTGTGCTCCACTCTTATTTTGTTAAGGCTGCTTAGCCACCAAGGAATTGGAGCTTAATGATGAGAGGCGGGAGGGGCGGGGGCCACTACATGGCTGATTAACCTTCCTCCGTCGCTCTCCATCTCACTGGATTTGGCCTCACTCTGGCACACCCATGATTAGTGCAGGTGAGTTGAAGGATAATTGTGGGATGCTAGGTTGGTGGGTAGGTTTTGTAAATAGCCTGCCAGCTGTAGTACAGGCCCTGTCGTTTTGCCGAGTGATGGAGACGGGGGCGGTCTTCTGGCGCTTTGGACGTCTGCGAAAAAGAGCTGTGTAGCTCATCGGATTCCTCCAGTATAAATGCATATTTTGATACATTCTGCTTTTGTTTTTTTTTTCTTCCCCCCAGCGTCGGATGCTCGTACTGGAGACGAGGACAAGGATGCTGGCTTCTCCAGCCCAGGAGAAGGACCCGAGGACACGCCCACCAGCAAATCCCGGCTCAAGTTCCTCGACATAGGGTTCGTGACCGCAGCCAGAAAACACTCGTATCAGCTGGGGTCCGTCCTGGGCAGCAAACCCAGCACACCACGTCCATCGTACCTCTCACTGGCTGTGTCTACGAGTCCCGTACCACCTACGCCTTTCTGCCATTGACCCGGGAAGTATTCAGTGAGAGATTTAGCCCTGAATAAATCTGATTCGCTTTAGCTTTTAAGCTATTTTAAATACTGCATCAAACACACGAGGTTTTAGACGACAACTTCAATTGAGAGTTATTAGCTTCGCAAACATTCCCTAAACGAGATACTTATTCAGAGGAAGCGATGGATTTGCTGACGACACTTTTTACTTTGGTGTCTCTTACATGCGGTGTAAGTGAATTCACAATAACTTACCATTAACCTATAAACACATTTGTTTTTAACGTGCAGAGATTGTTTTTTTTCAATATTTTTCCCATCCTATATGTAATGTTAAAGTAAAAAAAATATTAAAGAATAATACATTTAAATTAGCAGCACAATGTAAAATCAATTGCTTGTAATGTAAAAAGACATTGCATTTTTGGATAGATATAATGTATATATCCATATATAATTTATATATACTGTATGCATATATAGATAGGTAAAGGAAGATGGATTATCAAGGTTTCGAGACAGATAATTTGTTTTAAAACAGTATAGATTGCCTGGAGCAGATGTAATAAAATTGCAACCTAATAATAGAGGGTCTGACATTCAGGACACGTAATCTTTATTTTTATTAAATAAGCAGACAGGAAAACCGAATGCTGCTTTTCTACTGATTTCAAACATGACGTGCCTGCCAGGAAAATGGTAGGTGAGAAAAGTGATAGGTTGACAGCGGCATGTGTTGAGCAAAAATGCCATTTGCAAATCAACACAACGGCCGAACAACACCAACAAAAACTCTTACCATGTCCCTGAATCTCGCATTGTGAAAACTGGGGGGGGGGGGGGGGGGGGGGGGGAAATGCACGATAAAAGTAACAGACCACTTTAGACACAACAGTGTAAGTGTACTATTGTAGCCTTCTAAATATTGGCATGCAAATTGCACCCCAACAAGTGGAGCAAAAGCGTGCTACGTTTAAGCTGTATTTTTCCTCCACAATACATTTTGAAATTGCAGTGATTTCCAATGTGTACGCCAGAATAACACATCGCGTCCCCAAGTGTCCGCTGGCGTCCGTGTGACAATGCGGGGCGAGTTTAACCCCCGGAGCCACCGCCGGCATCCGCCTTCAGCAAAGTGCCCTTTGATGTGCCCCCCATTTGATTGGTCGATGCTCGTTCCCCGATTGCGCTCCCTCGGGACGGCAAGGGGCAGAACAACGAGGCTGCGTTGTTCGCAAGAACAGCCCCAAGGTTAACCGTGAGCGGCGAACGCTTGGCGGAGGGAAACAGCAAGGTCGATGAATAAGCCGAGTCAACTGGGCCTTGATGTGTATTTTTTTTTTATCAGCACGGCCTCTCTGACCCTTTGCCTAAGGATGCCGGTTATTAATAGCCGATCACCGAACACCGGTTCCCTGCACCGCGACGAATGCCGTCAAGTAAGGGATCGGGTGTTCCTGCGTGGCGGTGGGGCGGCCGATCGCCGGCATTCGGGAGTTTTGGGATTTTGTCATGGTACCGCCCCAGCAAGGCACTGCAGCTGTGCGTAACTGTCGTCGGAAAAATATTTCATGTATGCAGGCTTCGTTTTTTTTTTTTTTACAATGTTGCCAATTTACACCTGTTATGTTGGCTTTTACTTTTTTTACATTTCTCATTGAATGATCGCGAAAGTTTTTTTTTTCTTTTCCCTTGGCACGTAATATCGTAGCTTTTCATTAGTTTCACACGCCGGGAGCACCTTCAGCGAAACGTCAGGTATCATACCGAACAAAACGCGGCAACAAGCCCGAAAACACATCAGAAAGCAATGCAGCACAACCGCGAAATCCTACGCACTTGTATGTAACATCATGGTTCACAAGACCTGGTAAATTATAACCAAAAGAAGCCACATGCAGTAGGCGCATGTTCCATCACGCTTCCTGTTTCGTTCAACTCAGTGTTCCCATTCACATTTTACACCGCAGCTCACAGTGCCGGTGGAAGTGACTTTCTTTTATTCACATTGCATTATTATTATTATGCAATCAAATCGATGTGGTGCGCTGCTTGAGCTTGGCTTCATTAGGCCCCCATGTGCCTCTCGCTTCCCAAGGTCATTCCATTTTTTTCAGCAGGAAGGCCCTGGAGGCTCGCTTAATATTTGCCACGTACCTCGTGTGACCACCTTGGGACCAGAGCAAAGCAGTTTCAGAATAGGTCATTCACGTGAGTTACAGTGACGGGAGGTCGTTATCGCCGCCTGCTTATCTGCGAGGCGAGTTCTTTTTATGGATTGGAGTTCTAGGTTTAATGGTCACTACCGGGAATCGCTTCGGACACCGGTGTTGTGATGCAGCAGCAGTATGTATATCAACAAGGATATTTTATTGCCGGCAGCAACATAACGAGCATGGCGACGACGATGACGATGATGATATGGGGAGGTCTTGTCGTCTCGCCTGCACCAGTGACTGATGGCCGTGTGTTCTCTCCCGCGCAGGGCCTCGCTGCGGCGATCGGGTCGAGGGAGGAAGTCTGAGAAAGACCAGCGAGCATCGACGCTGCCCAGGTGAGTCGCAGTGGCTCCCAGAACCAGTTGCCTTCAACACAGACATGCTGCATCTAAGTACGTATAATAACTAAGATCTCGCAGATATAAGTACGAACCGTTGGCGCAAGTGCTATTAGCGAGTGCCTGTTAAGCCCGCTCACGGCCAACACCAGCGACGACTATCTGAACCAGTCCTGGGCCTCCTCTAGGTCGACTTAGCCTCAAATTGAGTACAGGCGACCCCCTGGACGGTCTCAAGTGGAGCCGTCGTAAGTCGAACTCTCATTCCCCATAGGCGCGATGTTATAAATTGGGGTTCCATTCCTGGAAACCCATTACATACCATTCAAATACCAAAATTGACCCAGAAAATACATGAAAGTAACCCTAACAAACATTTATGGTAACTTAACGTAACTTTTACAAACATTAAGTAAAAACAAACACATTTGAAATTTCTTCAGTACTTTTCTGCATGTGCATCGCATTTCCTCTTTTCTCAGACATAGTGGAAGGCGACAATTTTTCAAAATGTTTAGAAAAAGTGAGGAGCGTTGCAAGCGAGACGCTTCGTTTGCTCTGAGCGCAGCTGCAGTCTGTCGGGCTACACTGGACATACCCATACGGCAGAAGAGCAAAGCAGCGCCATCAGGCGACGAGCATGACATATCGCCTGTACACCACTACTAAACACTACTATACACTACGCTACTATACACTACGCTAAGAGTCTGCACACGCAGACTCGTCGCCAATCGAGCCGGCGTCGGTAGCAGTCGTTAGGCGGCAGTAGATGCGAGTTTTGGTCGCTACTGTGCGGGGGTCTTACTGACTATAAGAAAGGTCAGATAAGCAAGTCGAGCCGTCGTACGTCGGGTGTCACCTGTACCTGGTGCGGTGTGTAAACATCGCCACGAGGGAGACAAAGGCGCCTGAGCGTGGTGTTGGCCACCCACACGCTCGTGTGCCGTGCCGGCCTTCATAGGTGCTGCTCGCTAACAGCACTTGCCCTATTCGAGGCTATATGAGAGGTCTTTGTCTTTGTTAAGACCTGCCCGGCGCACGAAGGGGTGGTGTGACCAAGACACCTGCCCGGCTGCCTGTTTCTCACAAATCGGGATAGCTTCTGAACCGGAATGTCAAGCATGGGTCGAATCTACACCGATATTGTCATTGATACCATGCATAGCTTGTCATTTAGGGTCGAGTTGACCGAGGACTGGCCAAGGACCGGTTCAGATAACCACCATTGATGTTAGTCTTAGCCGGGAATCAAACGCAGGTCACCGGGTTCGTAGCGCAGTGCACTGACTGGGGGATCACGGTTCCGCCCGTTCACGCGCAGTCATTAGCACTCACTCTGAATCGCGACATTCACTCGGGTGACATTTAACCACCAGTTGGAATTACACGATTAGCTCTGGTGGCATTTGCAGATGAAAGTAGGCAACAAAATTGAGTGAAATGGCCTCATTTGTAAATGCGTCTTGTTGAAGCTTTAATTTGGAAGCCCAAATATCAACGGTGATGCTTATTACAAGTTAATTGATGTCTTCATTTTGCTAACCATCTTTGCAAAAAGTCTCAAATCTAAGCAGTGTAGGTTGCAAAAAAGTGTTTTGGATTATTAAGATACACTGAGTGGAGATGGCCAGGTGGCTCATGGGGCCTGAACAATGACAGAGCACTGAGTCGGCAACACTGAGACACTGGGTTTGAATCTGGGTTTCAGTCATCCATGATTAAACCATGTTTTCAAGTGTAATGAGTTCATGATCTTAGCCTGGTCGCCAATGACTGCGCACAAACTTGGCTCTTCACCTGATCCAGCTGATTTCCAGCTCTGACAATTTAAGAAAATGCATTTGATTGACTGGCAGCAAACGCACTTCGCAGGGGTATATAAAATGTGTACCGCCAGTGGAGACAAAGAGGCCCCTTTGAAAGGAGTTCAAAAGTATAGTACGTAGACTTTCGCGACCAATATCCATTATATTGGTTTTTTTTGGGTTAGATCGTGTAAATATAAATGTGTCGTTAAATCCGCCACCACCCGACACAGCTAATTAGTAAGGTTTGTCACGTAAACAGAACATACCAATTCATTACTAGTACAGCACACCGGTGTGTTGGAGAGCAAATCCACATAATTTACAATCTGAGTACGGCGTTTCGCCGGTAAGTACAACGCGCATCATCAGGCGGACAGCCAGATTTGTGGAGAAATCCTCCTGATTTCTACAAATCAGATTGTAAATGCTCTGGATTTGCTCTCCAACACACTGCTGTGCTGTACAAGTAACAAATTGGCATGTCATGAATTCAGAAGTAGTTCTGTAACACCATCTTTCAGAGCCATTCTCCAACAATTTGGCACAATGCTCACTGTGAGAGTTCAGAGGGGGAGCTTTTCCCCATCTCAAAATACGACACAGAAAGCTCAACAGGGAATTCATTTGGAGAGGCAACAATATCCACTGCATGTGTACACCCGTTGTGCGTAAATACGTGTACAGTATTACCTCGTTATTTATGAACTTGCTATTTGCGATCTTAGCTATCCGCGAATCGCATCTGGAACTCTACACGACTGGATCGAGAGAGAGAGAGAAAGTTAGTGATGAGATAAAGTGAGGAGACAGAATGTGATGCGAGAAAGTGTTGAGCTAAAATGACGAGAGAGAAGAGATGAGAGCGATAGAGAGGGAGATAACTTTTTTAAGCTTTAGAATCATCTGCAAACGTTGTGCATACGATATTCGTAGGCCAATATCATTATCCGCGAAATTTGCTATTCACGAGCATCTCCGGAACGCATCCCTTGAGAATAACGAGGGAATACTGTAATATATGTAAAGTCCGTGCGTAGGGAAATAAAATTCGTAAGAAAACGTAATTGAAGACAGATGGCCACAGATGAATTTAACACTATTGTTCGAGGCGTGGCATTCGATTTGGAAAGTCGCTTTTACCCACGCAGATTAAAAAAAACTGCGCTACACGTTTACTTCGTAACCATTATACAGTGTAACACTGACTAAAATATATCAATAGCACCGACTTGCTCCTCCAAATCGCTGCACAACCCGAAAAACTTAACAGGCAGCACTCTCGCAAGTCACGGGAAAGAGCAGCATTCCCTGCGATTCCTATTGTGGTTTTGTATTCCCTCTGCGACCAATCACTGAGCCCCATCGCCACCTTATTACCTATTAATACTTCTGCCAGGGTTATAAACATTCCCAATTAGAGGCTCTTAGGTTTACATAGGTGGAAGTAGTTTTCGTTTTATTGGATAGCATGCATTCACTGCGCAATGCATGCTTGCTGTTGCACCAATGTTGTGCCCGTCTCTCTGCATTTGCATCTTTTTTTTTCCCAAAGTCTCCCATTGACAAAGAGAAGCACTATCTATTTGCAGTGGGTCTCCTATTGGGTTTAAATAAACCCTATTGCATAATACTAGTGATTGCGCTGTGTCTGGTCTGTTATCACATTTCATGCAAAACCACAGCAAAGCCAACGGACAAAACAAATGTTAGCCCAGCCTACACGTGACCCGGGCCTCCCCTAGGTCTGCTCAACCCAAATTGAGTACTGTGTGTGTCAACACTGGCAGTGGTTTTAAGAGAAAGGCAGTCTTAAGCGGTAGCCCGGGTGGCTCTGGAGTCTCGGCTGACACTGCTGAGATCCTGGATTTGAATGCAGGCAGCTGCATTTGATTAAGTTTGCAAGTGCGGTCGATGCTATAAGCCCATTCATCGATGGATAAAAACTAAACGAAGCTATTTTTATTTTACTAGGTAAGGCCCGCTGATCTATAGATTTATTTTTCAGAAGTAACTTGGTCATAAATGATCGCTCAATTAAGTGGCCAAATGCGGAGGGAAAAACCAGAGGACCTGGAGAAAAATTCGCAGAGCCACAGGGAGTTAGACATGCGAACTCCAAATATAGCAGGCGTCAGGATTTGGTTCGAACCCACGACCTCCTGTACACCAGGCAAAGTAGTTAACATCTCGCCACCGCTGCACCCATAGCCTCCACATTAAATTTAGTTCTGTGCTTAATTGGCTAAACTTCAGCTCCCCGTTTCCATGGACTGGTCTCGTAGCTCATAGGGTCACTCGCACTTCTCTGCAAGAGATCTGAATAGATATTTCATCTTGGTGGAAATGCCGATAGCACACTCCGAATAAAACTGACAAGATTTTAAACGAAAAGAGCACAGAACCGCTCGATAAAACAAATCTTGTAAAACTATAAGGGCAGTTGGTTATGCCCGTCGTTGGCCACACCGCCGCCTAGGACGTGCCCACGGCTGTCTTACTCGGCGCTCGCTAAATGGGGAAATCGGTGGGCTTTGCATCCCCAGAGATGGAGGGGACGCGGATGGCGGTGTGGCTGTGGGGCCAGACATGGCCTCCTCGTCCTGCATGCCCTTCCTCTTCACTCGCAAGGGCTCCTTCTCTTCCACCAGCTCCGCTGAGCCGGGCTCCGTGAACGCCAGCCCTGAGAAGCGCCGTGCCAGGGTAGGTACCCAGCACTTGTGGGAACGGACGCGTCGTGGGTTCGGTTTCCTGCTCACGGCCACCAACATCAGTGACAGTTGTCTGAACCGGTACTGGGCCTCCCCTAGCTCGACTCGGCCTCAAATGAGAACCTTGTGTGGTGTGTAAACGTTTCCACTGGGGAGACAAAGGCGGCCGGGCGTGGTGCTGGCCCCCCACCCCCTCGTGTGCCATGCCGGCCTTCATAGGTGCTTGCTTAACAGCATTTGCCCCAAGTCTGTTTGGGCTATAGGGGGATCTTTGTCTTTGAGTATGGAAAACGATAAGAGGTATAACAATTATCTATGGCTACTTGCTATGTAGGTTTTAGCAGTTATGTCCAATGTGTTTAGTTTGTACTGCGAGTTTTTCGGCATGATGTCTGACTTTTCGCTCAATACGCTGGGAGCTTCATAGGATGTTCAATTCGTATCGAAACGTCGGACGTCATGCCGAACAACATGTGGTACAGCTCAAAAACGCCTCAAAGATCTATTAGTTTAGTTGACACCCATAGGTAATTATAATGGACCGTACATTTTTCAGATGGGTCTCCTCAGCACTATCTTTTTTTTGTGCTGCTAGAAATATCTTGCATGGTTTGATGCTGTTGTCCTTATCACCAATTTTTGCCAGAAGGGTTGTGCATTGGTAACACTTGCCTCAGAGAAAGAAGCACCTGGGTTCGATTCCAGGCTCTGACTGCTTTCTGTGTGGAGTGTGTATGTTCCCCCCTTGTTCTGCATGGGTGTCCTCCGTGTTCTACGCTTTCACCCCAGGCAACAACAACAAAAAACAGTGCATCTGGTATTGACCAAACATCGCAATTGTAATAAATACCTGCACATTACTCAATCGAAATTTCTCAAAAACACAATCCCCCCTACTGTGAAAACTTGGCAGGACCCTCCTTAAAATAGCATCTTGAGACTCAGTGAGGCTTTTCTGGGTAAGCAAGTACAGTCAAAAATAATACTCTGTATTTGTAGTGCAACACTTTTGTTTGTGATCTTTGCCCCTATTTAAATTCAACACCGGTAATCCTATAATTAGTTCCTCTAGGATTCACTGAGTTGCCTTTGTTCAGGATCATGATTTAGTTCACGAAATAGATGTTATATTTTTATTGTAATAAAATGAAAAATATAAACATGGAAATACATTTATAGAATATATAGCGGTGGAATAAACATACATTTAGAAAATAATAATTTCTCGTATTCACAGTTGAATGCATGTGTCGTGCCCCAAGCAATCGATCTCAATTGAAAAATCTTTACATGCCTAGAAAAACCAGTGGGTCACAGTCTTGGCGAGATTTTGGTCCTGAGGGAATTCATCCCATTTAGACTCAGCAGCAAGGCCCTGTAGCTCTTATGAAATGACAATTTTAACGTTCTAGAGATTCGTTTAGAAAATTTATATCTAACATAAAATGTACACCTTTGAATTCTTGAGTGGATGATTGGGTCCAATGCGGTGCTGACAATGCAGTGCCATAGCGACTGACCTGTCAGCTGATAGGGAATGCTGATTTATTTGTCTCTACTTCAGAGACAGACAGTTTTGCATTGGACCAATTTCCACGGGCGACCGCTTGGAGGTTGCTTTTTAAGCGTGGCTCTGGCGGGAAGGTTTAATCAGCGGGGCTTGTTTACTGCAGCAGGGGGCAGAGGTCGCTGCAACACTGCGCTGGCATTTCCTGCAGCGGAGCCGACAGGATGGCAGGGGGGTGGTGCTGCCCCTCTGCCATAGTGGATGCCAGCTGTGTCTCATTTTTGGGCTTTGATGGAGTGTAAACGGCCCTGTGCGTCTACGTGCGTGCGTCTCTGGGTCTACTCAAAGAGCGGCGCTACGCTCGCATTTGGCATGGTAGCAAAACATTTTCACCTTTTTACGGCAAACAAAAAATAAATCGTCTACTTGGTGCAAGGGATGTCAACGAGATTTACGTTAACTGTCAAGGAGTCCCGACGATGGTATCGCTGGGAATTTGAGTGAAGCCACTGAATGCATTTGAGTTCCTTTGCACTGCAATTGGAGCGCAGTGTTTATTTGATAACGTGCTCACGGTCGAATTTATCGGTGGCGTAATTATTCGCTCCGCTGACAATGTTATGAATCGTTGCTATTCATTGCCACAGCTCGATTCAATAAATTATTATCATTGTTTTAAATTGTGTTGAATGTAGCGGACGCTTGTGTCTGCAAGTGTGAAATGAACCTGCTGCATGCACCGTGTACGAAACTTAAAGCATTGATTCTTACGCATGCAGCTTTATGCGTGTATCGCAGGCTTGAGAGTCGATATTTACTGTTGATTCGGTGCATTGGTACGTCATTTATAATGTGATTGTACACAATATGCATTCACGAAGCATCCAAATGAGATTGCCTTTGAAGGTGCTGTATACGTAAAGGTGAATACAATTTCTTAGTGGCATGGGAACACATTTACTCATACTAGTTTAACATAGTGGCAAGATTTCGTCCAACAATATACCCTATCTGTGGTGGCGGGCCATAATTGACACCTGCAGACAAAGCTTTATTCCCTTCTCATATCGTTCCCCTTGTGTTTTCCCTATTATTTCTATAATTGTAAAATAGATGTACTCAGTGTGCCGAATGTGCTCCGCCACATGTCTAAATTACATAATCCGAGCTACATTTTATCTCCTGTTATTTTATTCATGCGGTGACCTTTTCTCGAAGTTAATATCCCGTGCACTGGTTCAGAGGAACAAATCACGGCTAGCGCTCGTTCAAAACATCGACATCAATTTCCAAAAGGGCGAGGCCGGATGAGCGCATCGTGACCAAATATCCATTGCGGCCGGAACCACAGCGGGGAAAACACGCCACTCAAGGAACCAATTGGGCCTCCTGCCCAGCAGTCGCGTTTCCACGTGCCGTTTTATTTAACACTACGTTTATATTTTCCCATCAAAGTTGAACGCAGAAAACACAGGAGCAGGATGATACAAGGGGAAGGTGTCAGTTTTAATGAAGGGGAAGATGTGTTCAGCATAGGGGGATGGATCTCTGAGAATAACCTGTTTGTAAGTTTAAAGCAGGAAAGGGAAGCAAGAGGAAAGAGAGAGTTGAGTGGACAGGGGCAAAGTAAATTATGCGGTAAGATGATTGAGCTGGCAGGGAGCCAACAAACTGGCGGGCAACACCTTGCTAAGGTCGGCCAGCAAGCGCTGCACAAAGACACCAAGGTGTCCTTGTGTGCTAGTACACCTCTACAGCATAAGATTCGGCCAATATTCTCAAGTGTCGGGTTTAAGGTTTATTATGTTGATCCAGGTGAGAACCCAAGAGACCAGGATTCGTCTAATTTTCAAGAATGGGGAATGGATCTGCCAGGAGGGGCGATGATTGCTGCTATGTGTAATCCCAATTGAGTAATTTGTGATGTGCTTGGTTAAATTTGACCCTGAGAGTGGGTAGATGGTGAGTTTTCCATGTTCTGTATTTTAAACCATGCAAAAACAGGTCTATAGGTTTTGTTTTGGTTAGATGAGTGCGTATACATGTCATATAAACACACGCAACATCCACCAGAAAAAATACTGTTATGAAATTTCTCGTCTTGCATAGCCTGATATCGGCCTTGTACCTTAATGGAACTGCAATCGATAAACACAGCACAGCTTCCAAAATAACAAAGTAGGAATTATGCAACACGGCGCATGACCGTGATACCATTCAACTCCGGTATATACAGTATCGTGTGCTGTGCAGCAAGATGGCTCGGACTGCAGCACCACCTCGCGTGTGGATTTGCCGTGCACGTGCCCCCTCCCCCAGACGCCTTCGGCCACGATGCATTTGTTATGCTGGCCACGACGCTGACCGTTGCACGCCCGCTCGCCCACCCGCCAGCCGAACGCGTTGCAGCTCCCGAGCGGAGCTTCCAAGGGATATAAGCCGTGTTGGGCTCCAGCGCCCTAAAACGAAGCCAGCCCGCGTGTGAATCCGTCGTAACAATCGACACGCGAACCACCGATGTCAAAGCGAGGGAATTTAGGGCTGTGGCTTTGTCAGCATCTTTACGGGTTGCTCCCGAACGCGCCGGCGATCGGGCAACGTCCACTGAGGAGATGAAGTGGACGTTGCTCGGCGCGTAAACACCGCCGTGATTGAATAGGGCGTGAAGGTGTGTCGCGTCGAGCGATGCTGCCGGCAGGGAGCGCCCGGTTTTGTCGCTGAAGCCACGTTCGCCGTACATGGAGGCGGCGTACCGCGTTCAGCCGGGAAACATTTGCGGAATCCCGAGAGGGCCGTCCAGGGGAGGGGCGTCCGGCACTTGACATGCCGCAGACTGCGGGAGGCGCGGCACAAGGCGGAAGGAGCGCCTCGGGCCCTTCCCGTCGCTCGCCTGCCAACACGTGGCCCGCGCTGCAGACGTCAATAAGCTTTGTCCGTCTCGTGCTATACAATAGTAGCCCTTAATCCACATCCCTGCTGCCCGAGGAGGATTATCGATTCGCGCTGCTTTTGTACACGTGCACATTCGTTTTATATTCACTAACATTTATCTACTGTGTTAAAGTCATTCAAGATGTTTTTTTTTAAACATCTGTGCATTGGCTCAGATATGTATTATGTTGTTACTAAAACTTGTTTGAACCAGCTTTGAGAGTCCAAAAATGAGAAACCCTTCTCTGGATGGACAGCAATGTGAGTTTTGGTTTTGTAAAACTTGGATGTCATCTGGCACCTGTAGGTGAGCGCAGAGCACTCAACAATTACAACTATTTCAATTTACATAGCGTCTAAATTAAACGGCATCTCAAGAGGCTTTATACTGTATATATGCGGTAAGAAGGTGCAATGGGGGTGGTTGGGGCCCAGACTCACGGGAGAGAGGAGAGAGAGCGACGCTCTATCCCAGGTCTCAGGCCAACAAGGAGGCGAAGTCCAGGGGGACGGAGTAACCGGGTCGCCAATGCCAATGGTTCTCGGGGATGACAAAGGGAGCCGAGAACCAGCGGAGCCCAGGCACGGCTGGGGAAACCAGGGCACCACCAACAAACCCAGGGCAGGCCTGAAGTGCCGGGGGGCTCTTCCAGTTCCCCCTACTGCCGTGTCCGATGATTATGTAAGGAGTGGAAACGTCCTACATGTTTAGGTTCATAGTGCAGTGTGTCCCCAGTGCGGTATGAGCCCTGTGCCAAAGTGGCGAGATGTTAACTACCTCGCCAGGTATGCAGGAGGCCATGAGTATGATCCTGACCCTGCCACCTGCTCTATGTTTGGAGTTTGCATGTTCTCCCCGTGGTTGCGTGGATTTTTCTCCGGGTCTTCTGGCTTTTTCCACCACATTTAGAAACACGCGTTAGAAAAATCGATCTCTGAAGAGGTTAGTTTATCCTCTAGTATGCGTGGGTTTCCTCCAGGTACACCATTCCCAATACAATAATCATAAAAGGATTTCACCAAACATCCTGCTCGAGGATCCTGCTGAATTTTTTTTTAAGACTCAGGCTTTTCTAGATAAATAAAGGGATATATTAATATTTTCATTTGGCTTCATCAAATGAACTGTGGAATGATTTCCACGGCTAGACTGAACGTACGGTTCGTCATGTGCGAAATAAAATGTCCAAGCTGCTCGGGACATCGTCTGATTTGTGCTCTGCCACCATTTCGATATTTCTGTTACGTTCTTTCACCGTCTCGTTCTTCAAAGTGTTGTGATAAAATCTCGTTTAGTCTACCAAATGTATTGTTAATACAAACTGGTTTACATTGCTCCTGATGCTGTCCAGCTCCGTAACGCTGATCTTAAAGATATTTTCGCTGTATCAGGTGTGTAAGCGCCACCCAGTGGCTCTGTGTGACATTGCTGTGAATGTGCGCGACGGTGAAAGATTTCTACCCCCGGCGTACGTTTCACAGTTGTGCTCTGTAGCTTTTTGATGCTTGCTCGGGTCGTACCGCCTGTTGTTTGGCACGACGTCCGACGTTTTGCTGCACGTGCTGGGAGCTTCTTGAAGGAACATACACTGAAGCATCCGAGCGCGCGGAGGAAAACGTCGGACGTGGCGCCGGACGGCGCGCCCTAATGACCCGAACACGCATCCGAGATCCGTAAAGAGTTCTGTCTCTGTTACTAACCATCCTCCTGTGTCCTCACCTCTCCCAGGCCACTCTCTCCTGGCCCTCTGTTTTCAGCCGAACCTCGCTGGAGACGGTATGCCTCTCGCTTTCCTTCCTCACTGCTCTCACCTAAGCTGTTTCGATCTCCCAGGGGGCTGACTGACCCACGTAGCCCCCGAGCCCCTGCCAAGTGAATTGAGCGGCTACGGCGCATGAGTGTGTGAATTCCTGAGCGTTCGCCGTTTTGTAAATAAATAGGGGCGTAATTTCATCGTGTATTTGAGGACGTTCCCTTGTGCATTGCAATCCAGAGCAGATCCCTAGTTGGGACTCAGATTTTAGTGAAAATAAATGCACTCTTCAAAAAAAATAACAGTCGGATATTGACACATAACACGGGCTGTGAGAGCGCATGGGAAGGAACAGAATTACATGTTGCTGATGGAGGTTGTTCACTTGCGACATTCAGCCGTTGAGAAATGTCCGCTTCCTTGATTCGCAAATTCAAATTAACTACGAACGTTTCATAATGGATCCACTTATGAGACTGTCGTTTTTTTCCAGAAGCGCATCGTGTAAATTGGCTTTGGACGAGACGAGGAATAACTGGCATACAACGATGGCGCTGTGCACCAAAAATACGGTCGTCACATTATCCGGCCATAGGTGTGACACATTCCTGCGATTTGGTGCGATGTTTAACCACACGAGCCTAAGGAACTTTTAGAAACACCCTTGTAACCCTCACGATGACTGATGCAGTCGTGCATGCAAACACTCGTTTTTGATTAACGTCCTTCTGTCCATTTGCCAAATGCACGTCGAATATCGTTCACGTCTAACGCTGCGTATTTTGCCTTTCTCTAACGACGCAGAATTCACGGCGCTCACAGTGACAGCTATGTCACTTCCTGTGCTGGTGCTGGGGAAAATCTGTTTTGATGATGTTATACAATGTCCGTTGTGAATCGGATAACGTTCCGTTCTTCAGCGGATTGTGCGAATGTATGCGAGCTGTTTGTTCGTGCCCATGTGTAGTCGGTGAATCTGGTGAAATTAATGCTCTGTGGGGCCCCCGTTTGGTTGCATGTGGGTGTGCATTTGTCTCTGTATGTGATGTGTCATGTTGAGGAATACGCACAGTGGTTCGCACTGTGCTCTGAACCCGGCAAATCGTAGTTCGGTTCCTGGCCATGGGTAGCATCGTTGGCGAGTGGCATCTCAACTTGTCCGCGGCCGTCACCTAGGTCAACTCTGCCTTAATCGCGTTTATGGATGGTGTAAACATCGGCAGAGAGGAGATGTGGTTATGGCCACACTACACTCTTTTGGAAAAAAACACCATTCCCTGGTGCGTTATTGTGCCAGGCTTAATACCTTAGGTGCTCACGAAGAGTGCTTTCCTCAACAGTCTGTATCTTATATAGGGGGGGTCTTTGTGTGTGTGTGTAGTGTTTAGAAAACTGCACTACGAACCATGTGACCTGGGTGGAAATGCATGCTATGGCTAACGTAAGTGACGAGTAACATCTGAACTGGTCCTGGGCACCTTAAACGAGTATCCGGTGCGTTGTGTAAACCTCCGCACTGGGGAGACAAGGTGGTCGGGCGTTATATTGGGAACACCACCACCTCGTGTGCTGTGCAAATCTTCATTAATACTCACAAATAGCGCTTTCCCCAAAAGTCTGTTAAGGGCTATATACGTACATACCTTTGTCTTTGTTGTTGGTGCGTTTAAGTATATATATGTGCAAATATTTGTTGCAGTTGTGTCTTTCTTGTTATGTATTTGTGTATGTGCGTGGACGTATTTGCGCGTGCTTAAGTTCTGTAAATATGTAAGTAGATGTGTGTGTGTGTGTTTGTCTTTGTGCATGCGTGGAGGGGGGTGTGTGTAAACCCTGCCGTGATGGCACTGCTGCTCCCCCGCCCCCCCACCATTGCTAGGCATTCAGTGGGGAATTCAGCCCCAGCAGCACGAGTTCGCTGGAAATGCCCGGTCTGGTGGCAGAGTCCAGAGTCAGGGGCCGCTCACACACACTAACCCTTTCCTCTGAGGAGGTATGACTACTAACTTATCACGGGCCGGGACGGGGCCTGCCGAGGGCACTGCCGCTCGCAGCGAGGATTCTCAAGATTGTCGCGCAAGCGAACCGTTAAACGGGGAGAGAGAGAGAGAGAAAAAAAACAGGCTCCGTTCGGAGCAGTAACGTCGACTCGGTTTAATTACAGCTTCATTTTTGCGCCCCCACCCCCTCTCTCTCTCTCCAATGCTGCGGTGATAAACCAACTCTCGCCAGTCGCCCTGTAACTAGAGCAGAGTGCGTGGCAATGCATGGGTTGGAGTTCACGCAGAGGTCCGAGTGGAGCAGGACTCTGGTGGCTGTTATTAAAGAGAGCATTACTGCGTTGGAATGGGCAAAACCGAGCATGTTGGCCAATGATCGCTTCCGCACCGGAATAATATATCACGAATTATTTAATGGATAAGCGTTGATTGTATAAATATGGTGCCACAACCTATACAGTATGTACGTTTTGTAAATTGTCAGTAAAATAATAATAGTATGTTCAAAAGCACTCTCTGGACCTATTCTTCTGCTGCTGCTCCTAATCAATGGACTTTTTCACTCTTGAGAATCCTGCTCTGTGATGCTGGTGCGTCATTCATCATTTCTCACGCATGCCTGTGACCCATTCTTTAATGGCGTCTCTGCATCGTTCCACATCCCTCCTGCTTGCGAATAAGAGTGCGTAACCCTGCCTCACGGTTTCCTTTCCACCAAGGTAAAGTCGTCCATTGCATGGCTTCCACCATCACATTCTAATCAAATAAGATGTGCCTGGACAGTATTGGTATGGCATTGTACTGCCATTCATTCATTCAAGACTGCCTCATGGGATATTTCAGTTCAAGTCAAAGGTTTGTTTACGAGCTGTAAACAAAAAAAACATTTGAAAGAGTTTACATGAAATATAATTGTATTGTTATAGCTTTTTGTAACAGTATAAAAATAAGACGACGCCTTCGATAAAATATTGACACAAATATAGCATATCGCCGCCCTCCTCGCCAATAACACAAAATACAATCGCGTTGTTGCTGATCCAGTGGATGGCATGTTTCTCCTTCGCACCTGCTGCTAAGCCCCCAACTTGACCGTCACCTGGATCATCAGCTCACAATCTTGATTCTGCTGCATTTGCATACGTTTAACAGAGGTCCAAACTCACCATTGGGCTGTTGTTGCGCCTCTTAGTCACTCCCCCGTCAAGCAGCTGAGCCTGGCTTTTCCTCTTTAGAATTGAGGCCGACAACCTCGTGGCACCTAGTAGACTTACGATTTGGCACGGCTGCTCTAGCATTAGTTATTTGCGGAATGCCACTGGATGGTAGTGGGGGGGGGGGGATACGATCCTTCGTTCGCTCCTTCGTTCGCTCCTTCGTTCGCGCGCAACTCGGCTCACGGAGGGAACCGCGATGGCTTGCGCGGGTGTCGCAGGGCTCCGAGGAAGCGCTGCAGTCGCCCGCGAAGCAGCAGCAGTGGGCGAACCGCACCGTGCCGGAGTGGACGCCTGAGCAGGTGTCCCAGTGGCTCGCGCAGCTCGGCATGGAGCAGCACGTGGAGGCCTTCACGACACAGGGCGTCGACGGCAAGCAGCTGCTGCAGCTCGACAGCACCAAGCTCAAGGTTGGCCGCGGCCTCCGTTACGACGGCTCTCCGCAGCCTTCCGTCGGTGTCGCTTTGTCCCTAATCTTATTTGGATCGTGCTGTCACTGTCACGTCCCTTGAGACCGGTGGTGGCAGGTGGGTAAATAAGTCCAGTGGGGTTGTTGGAAGCCTGTAGAGCTGGAGGTGGGATGGGAAGGGAAGGGAAGAGGTGCTTGCCGTTTGTAATCTTTATAATGATAACATTGCAATTTCTCGGACATTAATGACCGTGGCTCTAGTGAGCAGGTAAGAATTGTTGAGGGGTTTCCCCATCAACTCACTATGCTTGTGAAGCCATATCTCAGCAATACCAGCTCAGTGATCTGAAGTCTGAGCCTCGAATTAGGTTAGGGCCTCATAAAGGGGGTCCTCATTTGGCATTTTTCTCCGGGCCTCCAAAAACCTTTCGACGGCGCTGACCTTCACACTCATGTCCTCACGTACGATGTGCCAACAGGCGCGCTGCTTGTGCATGCATACATCCTGCAACACGTGTGCGTGTGTCCTGCAACACGTGCCATTGGATGCTGTTGCTTTATTTTAATTCGTTGTGCGCAAATCATCATGGTAGTTTCATTTTGCACATTTGACGTGTTAACTGTCAAGAGCGTGTAATGCGCGAGACCAAAACAGCAATTTAAGTTGTCTTGCTACGTGAATTTGAAATGATTTAACCAGGGCGCATCAATGACTAATTAGTCTACCACAAGCTATTTTTTTTTATTTCACAGTTTTGTCATTGAAGTGTGTGTGTTTTTTATTCAGTTTGTCAGCGGGAAGGTTGCCCAGTAGCGCGGCGTGTAGTGAACCATCTTCCGTTCACCTCCTGCAGGCCCTGGGCGTGACGAACCTTGCGGAGCGCTCCAGCATCAAGAAGAGGCTGAAGGAATTGAGGACGGCGATGGAGAAGGAGCGCAAGGCGCAGGAGAAGATGGAGCGGCAGCGGGAGAAGCTTCGCAAGAAGGAGGAGGAGCAGCTGAGGAAATCTCAGAGAGCCAGCAAAGTGGGCGAGGAGTCGCCTGCCACTCAGTAACACTGCGTCAGTGCGGGGGGTGGGGGGAGTGGGAGGGGGGGAGGGCAAGTGCTGGAGCGCTGCTTCGGCCAGGCTGAGCAGCCGCGCCATTGTGATCGTGTTTGCCCGGGAATCGACTAGACTCACCGGGCACTAAAAGAACACACACCCCGGGCTCAGTTGAGAAGCAGTTGCGTGCGCAAAACAACAACAACAACAACACTACTGCGAGTGTGGGAGAGTCCTTTGCATTGACACTCGTGTAAAGAAAAATATAATATTCGTAGTACAGTTATACAAAAATAAACCTCAGAACAACTTTAGGAGGCTCAATTGAATTCTACTCAGCTGTGACTCACCCATTGTAGAGTGCTCCGGGCACTGTGACGCACAGCCGTTGCTAAAGAGTAGTTACCGTCCATTGTGCAGTGGAGGAGCCCGAACGAACATCAGCTTTACTGCAGTGATCAGCAGGTAGTCATTTTCCTTGCACCCAGACCAACCTTCGCATCTTCTTCAGCAGCCAGTCCGTGATCCACTACCAAAGTCGATGCCGTTGAAAGCGGGGGCAGGGGGGTATTAAAAATCTGAAATGCCGCGTACTGCTGGAGGCTTGAGAATGCATCGTAGAGTTAGTGGTGAACGCCAAGGCATCTGGCGGTGGCAGGCAGTGAGGTGGCACGGCACAAAGGGTGCACTGACCTGCACTGCCCCGTGTTGCTACCGTGATGCACGGAGTGTTTGTATACTGTTTTTTTAACTTAAAGCATATTTAGGTTATGGTGATATTTCAAATGGGGTATTTCTCACAACATTGTAAATATTTCTACTAAACACTATATGCAGTGTTTGCATGTTTTACGTATTCATTATGGCAGGTTCTCTTTAATTCTATATTTTTCATTTTTTTTGTTTAACATCTTTACTTTTTGGTGGGTTTCTTTCAGAGGTGCGACGCTCTTTACGAGGCTTAGACGCGAACATGAATCTTGAAAAAAAATCGTGTCGGTTCAGATTTAACGCAATTACTTTACGTAAAGCCAGAACATTGTACAGACTCCCGGAAGAAGATGGGGGTGGGAGGGGGGAGTGCTGCGTTCCAACTCTGCATGCCGGACAGCACCGGTGGCACAATCGACAGCGCTGGGGTCCTGACTCCCGAGCGCAGTTGCAGCGAGGACTCGTGCATTTTTGCCCAAGTTTCTCATGGATTGGCACCCGGTTACACTTCGATTTATCACATACATGGTGGTGGTGGGGTGGGGGGAGTGGCGTTTTAACGAGTGTGAGACAGTATCTTGGTGACTCGGCGATCCTCAAACTCTGGCACCTCGTGCTACAGAATGATCTGACGTTGCCCATTCCTGCCGTTTTTTTTGCCGCTCGGGGGCAATTTGCCCTCTTGCTCAACATTGCACACTAGAAATTATGGATGCACGCGGATGCTTAAATTCTGAGGCCTTTGCCGTCACGGTGGCCTCACGCTCTTGTGAAAACCCTCTCCTTGTGTGGTCATGTGATCTGCCCCTTGGTGCAGTGATGCATGCAGGTGCCCAGCCCATAAATTCATAAGTTTTCCCATTCGTCACTGATGATGACCTTGAACTTACTCCTTTGTTTTTCTTTCCCTTAACAAAACAGCATATTGCAAATAACAGGTTACATTGACAATAATATTGATAGGGGTTTTTATGACTTATTGAAAAGGAAGATCTCAGTTTTTTGGCCAACTTTTGCCTTCTTTGGCAAATAACATAAACAAAAAGAATTCGTTATCTAGCTCGTTATTTTGGGGTGCCGCAGTGGCGAGATGTTATCTCCCTCGCCTGATATACAGGAGGTCTGGGTTTAATCCAGATCCTGATGCCTGCATATTTGGAGTTTGCATTTTCTCCATATGGTCACGTGAATTTTTCTTTGGGCTCAGTTTTTCCCTCCATATTTCGAAACATGCATTTCGATTATTTGCCTGCTATAAATTTCCACATGATAAGCCACTTGTTTGAGCTATCACTTGTGGCAGCCAGGTCGCTTCTGAAAAAAGCTGTATAGCCCAGTGGGCCTTACCTGGTAAAATAAAAACAAAAGTTTCATAGTTTAGGTTAAGTACTATTTCCGTGACTACTGACCCTTTATTTGACCTGTGTTATTTCATTGGACTGTAACCCCTGGAAACTTTTTGCACATTCCCGTGTGTTTGTTTTTTGCGGACCCCACATGATAAGCCACTTGCTGAGCTATCATTTGTGGCAGCCAGATAACTTATGAAAAAGAGCTAATAGCTCAGTCGGCTTCACCTGGTAAAAATAAAAAAAAATTGTTTTATTTTCCAGTTTCCCAGTCTACATACGTCTCTTATGGTGCAGTAACATGGGAGTACTTCATTTAAGAAAATATATATATTCGAGAGAAGTACTCTCTCCCCCTAGCGGAGGCCCTGCTGTCAGCAGTCGTGTTCGAAAGCAAATTGCAGGGCTGCACCGTGAATCTTTTACAGTCCTGTTCGTGTCTACAGACGTGGCATGGCCAGCATAACAGGTGAAAGTGCATTACCAATGTAATATTGACCTCCGAAATACGACGATGTATATGGAATGTCATTTTGGTAATTGATTTGGAACATTAAATTTCTCATTGCTTTTCATGTTAATTTTTTTTTCAGCGTAGCGTTTATGGTAATACCGCTACACTTTAGGTTTATATAATGGTTTGGCTTTACGTACATTTTTGTTGTATATTATCTTTGTCATCGACACGAAGTTAATTCTTCAGTCTTTTATGGAACATTCAGTTTAGAATATTTTAAATGTTTTTAACAAATTATATATGAATACATTATATACCAGCAGGCAGGAGTGCCCACCAACTTTATAAAAATTACAGAAACCTTCGCAAAGAGAGTGGGAAGATAATTTGATTTTCACATCATCATTACTCCCCTTTGAAGTCACCGCTTTTGTCTGACAAATGTAATGTGGCATTATTCACGTGCAGACAACTGAGCCAAACAATAAGGGGGTGGGAAGAAAAAAAAACCTCACTACAGTAATATGCTGTAAAATTAAGACATGTCAAAAAATAATACTATACTCTTAACACTGCATCTGCATATTTTTTGTAATAGTGGTGGTGCTTACACCTGAGGGTAATTTTTTTTCAAATACTGACTTGACTTGAAATGTCCCCATCACAATTGACCATTTCACCGTCACAATTTTCCTGTCACCCATTGGTGTCCAGTAACGTCGGCGTGACCTTTTGAGACATTTTAAAACATCTCCAAAAACATCTCGCTTTTATTTTTAAAACTTGTTATGAACCGCCATCGATGGTACACGTGCGTCGCAATCTCCTCTGCTGTTGGAAACGAAGGCGATGTTTTTTCCATCTCACGTTGCACCAATTCACTACGGTAGAAAAATCGGCAGCGACCAGTGCCGCGTTCAGACCAGAAATATTTAAGTTGCAGCCTCGGGGGGGGGAGGAGGCGGGGGTGGTGGTGGGTCGGGCCCAATCTTAAGAGAGTACATCCCGTGTCGGACAATTAGCAGAGCCTACAAAATCTCCAGTAAAATGTGGGGAAGGGACTTCCTCCACGAGAGCGCGTGGCCTGCCCTCACTGTCCACGTCACTAAGAACATGGCTGGGTGAAACAAATATCTCCGCAAGTGAAACGTGCACATATTGAACACTGTCATTCGATACGGTAAATTTAGCACGATGTAGAAATGTGTAAACGTACATCGGTGACTTTCGATAAGGGCCGGAATTTGAATTACAGCAACAACAAATAAGACTTATCTCAAATATAATTTTGACAAAACTCCGGCTGACTAAAATGTTACAGAAAATCAATTTGGCATTGACGACACACGCGCGCGCACCTTCATGGCTTATCAATAGTCAAGGCTGGAGGTATTTTTAGCTTTGTTGACATACAGAGAGAAAGATGATGGCCTGCCAGGTATGGTTGCTCTACCTTCGTGACAGATTTAAAAGGGTTACGTAACAAGAGATGAAATTATCCCCCCCCCCCACCACAAGACCACCAATGCAATAAATAGCCAATTGAGTTCCAAATTGTAACTGTCAACCTGCATTTTAGGAGTGTCACTTAAGTGGCAGTTCAAAAGGTTTGCTTTATTTGTGAACGTATGCACCCGCCTCTGGTGCCTGAAATTACCTAAAGGTTTGGCCGTGCAAACAAATGCAGGTGCAGGAAATGAGCATTAATTTGGCTCCATTTAACACTTCACTAGTAAACTTAATTTTCAGCAGCTCAGTTTATAAGAGACCAGAACGCAAATACAGTTTGTTTATTTCAATGCAATTACTGAACTATGTTTCTCTACGCTGAAGCATTAGGCACAGCCATCTTTTTCTAACGAGTCCAACACATCACAATTGGGTGATCAATGTTAAGGTGGGATGTTTTTCTCTTCCCTTAAAAAAAAGTCTTTTTTTTTCATTCGAAGCAACGCCGTATGTCTAAAAGAATGCTTGTTTAGCATACGGTGACGGCAAGTCAACCAAGGGTGTCGGCATAAAGTGCAGTGCAGCAGAGTTTGAAGTTGACTTCGACGCCGTTTACAGGACAACGTAACGTACCCGTTACGTTTGTCCCACGTCTGAAAGCCAACCTCTCTGTACTATGCGTGCGTATAAACAAAGCCGTTTTTACCACATGGTTTACATTTGGTATGATGATGATGATGATTATTGCAGTCTGTGCCTGCATATATCAGACTGGTGGGGCTCATGGACAATGAAAGCAAACACAGAGAATGCACAAAAAAATGTTAAGAGGTTTCACTGCACTCTCTTGAGCTTGTGTGTTAATGCATGGGAAATGTTTGCTTTACAAAATGCCCGGTGAAAAGAATGTCTACTTTTGTGTGACCCTGGTGTACAGGGTGGTCGAGATGTCTTGTGACCCCCCCCCCCCCCCCCCCCCCCCCCCCCACTTAATCAACCCCAAAATAAACCTTACTTTAAAATATTAAGTTTTAGATAATTAAATGGGGGGGGGGGTCACAAGACATCTGGAACGCCCTGAACGGCATCGCCTTTATGAAATGTGCCCGTTTTCCCCCCATGGAGCTACTGCCATCAGCCTTTCATGTATACGTTGTACATTCCATGAAGGTTCTAATAAACATGTTCTCGCGAGTGTTTGAGGTCCGCAAGATAATGGTGAGAATGCTTTCCTTTAATTAAGACCTAGCTCCTTGCGCGTGTAGTGCATGTCAAATATGTAATGATTAGATCAAGTGGCAGCGGGGAAAGTATGCCAGAATAAAACTACTACTGAACTGTACCGTTTTTTTTTTCCCCACCGGCTATGCAATAAGGAGGTTAATACAGCTATAACACCACTAAAATAAATTGTGACGATTTGGGGGGGGTGGGGGGGTGGGAAATGTGATATTTACTGTTAAAAAGAGCAATTTACAACCCGATGAACACGAACAATGGAACTGAAAGTCTCTCGAGCCATTGCGGCTCTTGCCACCTGGGGCCCCGTTTGTGCGATTAATCACCCAGTCCCCGATCTCTTAAACTGGAGTAATTTGAGCCTGTTTGCAAGCGTCGATAACATGTGCCTAGGAAGAACATATAAGCTCGTGTCTAAAAGCTCCTCCACTGTCGTACGATATTCACGGGCAGCCTTAAAAAAACATGTTTTTTTTTATTCTTTACCGTTTTTGGACAGCACGTTGAGTTGAGTATAATAATTGCTGTGTTAATGTGTATTGCTGAATTGTCTTTCAGAGTGGATGGTTGACATTGGGAGATTACAAATGCCCTCCTTGTGCGTTATTCAGCAACGGCGAGGAGGATTGTTTAAAAATGTTTAGTACACTGGTGGAGGGGGAAGATAGGGGGCTTGCGTAATGTCACCTACCAAGTAAATGGCTGCTGGTGTGTAGTCGTTAGTGTAGGCTGCACTACAAATGCGGTGCAATTGTGAAGCAAATATTGCCATTTTATTCGCACCTTGAATGTTGGCGAGTATTTCTCCCCCCCGCCCCCAATCTCCTTTTAAGAAAAAAAACAGGATGTTTTGTCCGTGGGTTTATTCCTAACGGCGAAAGACGCTCACCGAGCATTGGATTCGCAAATCACACGTGGCACATCCTGAAACTGAGTTTTATTTTGTAAAGAATTGCCAACTTTGTCAACGCCGCACATTCCTCACACGAGTACTGCACCAATTTTGCGATCATTACGTTTTTTTGCCAATGTTTCAGATGTCATGTTTGTTAAAAAAAAAAACTAATTTTAACGGAACATTCTGCAATTTTTTTAAGTCGATTTATTTCCACGAACAACTACTCTAAAGCATGTTGATCATTTTAATTTAACGGTGCCTTGTAACCAGAGCAACTATTTTAATGTTTTGCGTAAAGGGATGCCGCTTACATGGGGCCTAGCTGCAGAGTATATGCTCAAATGGTAGCAAGGGGCGAGTTGTTTTGGTCAAGTTCTTCACTTAAGAACTTCTGAGTCGGTTCTCTTTGGACGTCATAAAGGCCATTCTATCAATTCCAGGTGGAGAGGTTGAATCCATGTTTGCTCAAGTTTCGTGGGGTCGTATGTTAAAAGCGGTGTCTGTGCGACTGCATCGCTCTGTTTGTTCTGCTCTCCAAACTTTTTTACATATATTCCACGTGAAAGAATGCATGTGTGCA